ATGAACTTTGTACACCAATATGCATTAGATGAAAGTGAATGTACTCTCTTTGATGGTGTTTGTGACAATGGTCACTCTGGCATTGTGTACACCAGGATGATAACAGTTGGTAGCAGTCAATACATTCCTAAACAACTATTGTAAAAGAGAAAATGGGCAAAGACTGTCACAAACATCACAGAGGAAACTGAAAACTTTACAGAAGTGATGTGGTTGCCTTTCACATATATTTGCCCCTGAACTGCAATGTGAGTTGAAATGAAGACTGGGGAGATTTAGATTCATTGAAGGCCACAATGTGTAGTTTCTATATTTTCCTCTAATTTACTAATTTACTCAAAAGAAGTTCCATGGGAAGATTGATTGTTGTTGTACTCTCTATTACATTTGTTGGTTCCCTTGAACGTTTGTGAATGTACACCAATATCCTGTGTAGCTGTTTTTTTTTTTGGTCACTGGAGATTAAGATTGAAGTTTACTGTATGTGAAAACTTCTTACCTAAGTATGAGTTTGTGCATATTTCTATCTCATGCTGTGTCAATGGTAAATAAAAAGTAATACTGAAAACCATAAGTTATCATACAACAGACATCCACCACTTTCCCCTATTATATGCTTGTAAATTATACGAAACATGCACTCAAATATGCAAGGGAAACTGAACTCAGTAACACTGTAAGCTAGTGTGAAGTGTCTGGAATACTGCAGTGAAAGAATCAAGAGAATATCTTGTTGGGTACACGAGAAACTGCAAGTTAAAACACTTGTGACAGTAGCTGGAAACTGCAGAGCTCAGGGAATGTTATGCCTACATTGGATGACGTCACGACGTGGTGGTCAGGCCTTCCATATAGGGGGTGGTGGCAGGGGGCGGAAGTATCCCACTTGTGAGCTGGCATTCTGATCTCTTGCTTCCCACCCTGCCCAAAGCCCCTTACCATGTCCTAGCAGGACATGTAGGGTTGCCAGGCTCCAGGCAAGGCCTAGAGATCTCCCAGATTTAGAGTTGATCTCCTGGGGGGGGGAGTACAGAAAAAATCCCTTCTGGAGTAAATGGATGCTTTGGAGGGTGGACTCTGTGGCATTAGACCCCCTAGGGATGCTAGCCTCCAGGTGGGGCCTGGGGATCCCCTGGAATTACAGCTCAGCTCCAGACTACAAGGATCAGTCCCACTGGAGGAAAGGGATGCTTGGGAGGGTGGACTCTATGGCTTTGTACACCACTGAGGTCCCTGTCCGTCCCAGGTTCCATCCCCAAATCTCCAGGAGTTTCCCAAACTGAATCTGGCAACTCTACCCCCCTCATCCCCCATCGCAGTGGCCAGGTGGGACCCTGCAACCCTAGACCCCACTGAAGTCCTCCCCTCCCTGCCTAGGCTTGCCCCCCCCCCCCAAAATCCACGGGTTTTCCACCCCCAGGTGGTGAAACCCTGTGGCAAGAAACCTGGGAGGCTTCAGCTGGGGAGGGGAGGATGTCCGTACTGAATGTTATACACCCCAGCTCTAGGAAGATGTCAGGCGTTCCCCGAGGCGTGTGCCCTGCAGAAAAAGAGAATGGATTTTACATTTCAAGAAGAAAGAAGTGTGTAGTCAGAGGCCAAACACACCCTGAGTCATTACTTCAACAGAAAGAAGCAAAGTGATCCTGGCAATCCAAACAAGGTTAAAGACCTTAAGTTCCCCCCCCCCTGCAAATATTTTTGTAAACACAAGCTTGAGCTTTTGGCAGCCCCAATTCTGTGGAGCCTGTGAAGACTCAAAAGCTCCCATTGTACCTGTGTGTGTGTGTGTGGGGGGGGGGGTAGTCTACTGCAGCTGTTGACTGTGTGGTTGTAGATCACACAGGCCTTTTGTGGAAGAACACTCCCAGACAGCTGCAGGAGATGAACTCTCCCACCTCCCTTTTGGTCAGAATCCTGCAGGCATTGTCGGTGTATGGTCTTCACTCCTCCCCACGATACAGTGCTGGGTACAGGACCAGGAAGTGTGCTGTTGGCCGCAAAACAGTTTATATTTCTTGGAAACCACAGAAATGAGGATGATACATAACCACATAAGAGAAGCCAATGTTGGATCAGGCCAAAGGCCCATCCAGTCCAACACTCTGTGTCACACAGTGGCCAGAAATACCAGTGCCATCAGGAGGTCCACCAGTGGGGCCAGGACATTAGAAGCCCTCCCACTGTTGACCCCCCCCCAAGCACCAAGAAGACAGAGCATCACTTGCCCCAGAGTCCCTATCTATACCTTGTGGCTAATAGCCACTGATGGACCTCTGCTCCATATGCCTATCTAATTCCCTTTTGAAGCCATCCATGCTTGTAGCCGCCCCCACTTCCTGTGGCAGTGAATTCCAAGTGTTAATCACTCTTTGGGTGAAGAAGGACTTCCTTTTATCCGTTCTAACCCGACCGCTCAGCAATTTCATGGAGTGCCCACGAGTTCTTGTATTGTGAGAAAGGGAGAAAAGTACCTCTTTCTCTACCTGCTCTTTCCCATGCATAATCTTATAAACCTCAATCTTATAAACCTCAATCATAAACCACCTCTCAGGGCACAGTCACCACGGTAAAACAGCAGGTGTGGAGTCCATTTGGGCTAAGAAAATACCTAAGTAAATGGCTGGGAAACAGCCCTTGACATAACATTATTTAAAACAGTATTATAACTCAAAATAGTTATGGTATTTAGAAAACTGATATGCACGTAATCTACAAATCACAAATTGCTAGAAAAGCCTGAGAACGTCTTTTAAGTGCCATCGTAAGCAGAGTTACACCCATCTAAGCCTATTTTCAGCAGACTTTATTAAGATGGCACCGTTTACTTTTATTTGTTTATTTAAATATTAGCAGCCCGAATAGCCCAGACTAGTGTGGAAGCTAAGCAGGGTCGGCCATAGTTAGTGCTTAGATGAGAGACCACCAAAGAAGACCTGGTTGCTGTGCAGAGGAGAGCAACCCCATCTCTGCTCCTCTGTTCCATCTCCTTCCTTGAAAACTTTGTGAGGGGGTCAACCGTGAGTCAGTTGCAACTTGATGTCAGTTGAGAGCCAGTTTGATGTAGTGGTCTAATCTGGGAGAACCGGGTTTGATTCCCCACTCCTCCACTTGCACCTGCTGATGTGACCTTGGGTCAGTCACAAGCTCTGGCACAGCTGTTCCTGAAAGAGCAGTTTCTGTCAGATCTCTCTCAGCCCCACCCACCTCACAGGGTGTCTGTTGGGGGGAGGGGAAGGGAAAGGAGTTTGTAAGCCGCTCTGAGACTCCAAGTGAAGGGCGGGGTATAAATCCAATCTCCTCTTATTATTATTATTATTATTTATTGTCCTGCCTTTCTAACCAAAACGGGTTCTCGGGGTAGACATTATATTTCGCATCTCTCCCCTGAAATGTGGGTAATAAAGTGGCAAATGGCAGAGGCGCTTCCAAACTACTGAAATTGGATGCTGACACAATCAAAAATATTCCCATTATTAGTCTAAAAATGTTAAATGTTTACACTGGATAGTCAGAAATTATGAGGGGTGCAAACTTTTATCGATGCAGCCCTTGCAAAGAATGGCTTTTCTGCAATAGCTTTTAACTTCCCTTAAAAATGATTCTTTTTTCCCTCTCCAACCAGGTGACTGTTGGCTCCTGGCCGCCATTGCCTCACTCACGCTGAACGACCCCCTTCTCCATCGTGTGGTCCCCCATGGGCAGAGCTTCCAAAATGGGTATGCTGGCGTTTTCCACTTCCAGGTGAGCCTGTCTTGCTATCCACGATTTGGTGATTTGTTTCTCCCTTAGGTGTGTGTCTTTTCCTGAGCAGTCTGGGGTGTCCTTAATAAACCAGAAGGGCAATCCTCTCGTGTGTTCAGAAGTATTCATGATGACAGTCAGGAGCTTGAAGGGAAGGTTTAGCATTGGGTGTGTGTGTGTTGAAAAACACTTCAAGGGATTGCAAAAACCTCTATTACAGCTGTCTCTACAGCACACGTCTGCTGGATCAGTTCCTTTACAGGGATCTCTTACTGTCCAGCATCCTGGGACAATCCCTGATTTGCAGTGCTTGCCCTTGGCAAACCTTTGTTGTTTTTGTTTTGGGGATGCCTTAGAAAACAGCTATCATTTGCTAGGGGGTCATTCTTCAAGCTTTAGCTTGAATATTCTCCTTCCACCCAGTTAGTCATATCAGTTTGTTGCTGCTCAAACAACCGGGAGTGTGGGGGGTGCCTTAAAGACTGACAAATGGACTGTGGCAGAAGGTTTCAAGGGGTCAGAGCAGACTTCATTAGATGCAACTTGAATGTTCAGCCTGGCTGTTGCAGTTGCTGAGGAGGTTCGCAGTTTGCCTGTTGACAGTATAGGTTGCTTTCAGACGTCACACTCAGGGTTGCTGATGCTGTGCTGGAATGTTCCTGGAAATCTGGTGGTGCAGCCTAGGGAAAGGCAGTTTGTGTGAAGGGGAGAAACCTCAGCAGGATATAATGCCACACAGTCCATCCTTCAGAGCAGCCATTATCTCCAGGGGAACTGATCTCTGTAGTCTGGAGATCAGCTGCAATTCTGGGAGATCCCCAGGCACCATCTGGAGGTTGGCAACCCTACATTACAGTGGACCAACATTGAGCCTTAACGTGCATGAGTGCAGCTTCTTGGCAGGCTTGTGAGCAATGCTTCCTCTAAGCCAGTGGTGGCGAACCTATGGCACGGGTGCCAGAGGTGGCACTCAGAGCCCTCTCTGTGGGCACGCGTGCCATCGCCCCAGCCAGGCCCAGACCATCATTAAAGTGTCGAATTCTCTGCCAAATAATTTTAAGTAAATGAAAGCATTTGGGATTGCTTTCCTTACTTTGTTTATTTCATGATGAGTTAATAGTGCCTGCAGCCTGTGGGGAATATTCATGACATAATAGCGTGTGTTTGTCATGCATGCGTGCACTCCAGCAACGATCCATGTTGTCAGCAAACAGAAGAGAGAAACTGTACACAAGAGAGTCCCCTAGTTTCCTCTGTGAAACGTTAGAGACAGGTGATCTCTCCCTGGAAAGAAAGCGTTGTACATTGCAAGGCTGAGGGCGTCCCTTGATCGGAAGCGGTGTCATGTGAAAGAAGGCAAAAATCTATTCTTCAGACTAGATCTAACAGGCTTATGTTACAGGAGGGTAGATTTCAGTTAAACGTTCAGAGAAACCTCCCAATGGTGAGTGCAGTTTGACAAAGGAACATGTTATCTGCTTCAAGCAGAGGCTGGACAGCCATTGGTTGGGGATGCCCTAGCGCTGGATTTCCTGCACTGAACATGAGGTTGGACTAGATAGCGTGTAAGGCCCTGTCTGACTCTGTGGTTCTGTGACTGGAAAGGGCCCTCACCCTCCTGCTTTAACCCTCATCTGTTTCTTTTTCTTCTGTGCATTATTGCATATTTGTATATTTAAAGTATTTATATTCTGCCATTCCTGTGAATTCAAGGCATCTTGCCCTGACTTCGATCTTGTCAGATCTCAGAAGCTAAGCAGGGTTGGCCCTGGTCAGTATTTGGAAGGGAGACCACCAAGGAATACCAGGGTCATTACACAGAGGCAGGCCATGGCAGTCCACCTCTGAATGTCTCTTGCCTTGAAGCCCCTACTCGCCATGCGTTGGCTGTGACTTGACGGCCTTTTCCACCACCACCAAGGCATCTAACAACACAACACCACATTGCAAGGACATAAAAGTTACAGTATCCATTAACAAAATCGAGGTACACAGTTTTTAAAGAAATCTTTTCTCCTGTTCTTCCTTTTAAAGAATTCTCAATGAGGGTTTTTTTCTTTTTTAAGGGGAGTGCTTCTTATAGTCTCCTGTCCTAACACTTGTCATGCTAGACTGATCAGTTCCATGTCAGGTCTTTGTCTCCTTAACTTTGCCATTCATCCACGGTTTTATTTGCCTATATCCTTATTTCTCCATTCTTCAATCTTTCCAGGTGATATAAAGCGTGATGTGAGCTTCTTTGGCCACACATGGCCTAGAAAATTTGTTTGATGGCATAAGTTCAGTTACTAAAACTCTACATTTGACTGATTTCCTTTTTAAAAAAATCAGTTTCTAGAGCACTGTGTCACGAATCTTTCACTAGCTAGCTCCCACCAATAACTGTCATAGAACAACAGGTACAAATTCCAGTTACTCTGTTTTGTTAGTACTGACCTCCATTTCCAGATAGAAAATGTTAAAATTATCCTCTTGAAAACACCATCGTGTCCCATTGCTGTAAGAACTGGTGCTTCCCTTTGGCCCCAAATCTGTTTCTTAAATGAACGAATGCACTTCTTTCCGTTTTTCCCCACCCAAGACAACACCTTGCTTGGTCAGCTGCCAGTAGTAACAACCTGGTCTGTTACTTTTTCTAAGCCTCCCCTGAGACTCCACCCTGGCTTGGAATCTGACTTTGCGGGTGAGATGCCTTCAGACAAACGCTGGTTTGTGGGAGTGGCATGGCAAGGCCGTGGCGGTGAGCAAGAAGGGAACCACCCTGGCAACACCCCCACCCCCCTTTTGCCTGGGTTGTCCAAATTCTCTTAATTCTGTACCTACAGGATTAAACTGCCTCAGCCTGCCTAATGGACTGTGGTGTAGAGGAGGCTGCTTTTTGTCTCCACCCTTGAGCACAGCTGTTTTGGGCTTGGGGCGAGAGAGCTGCGGAACTGAGCCTGAACCTGTGCAGAACGCCGTGTGTGAATGCCTTAATAAAAGGGCTGCCTTTGAACGTATGCAGAATACTGGTTACTTTTTCACTGAATAATCACAGCAAGCTTCTGAACTACTTCCTGTAGCTTCCCTTTTAAGTGCAGCTCAAAGGCAACAATTAACAGGTGGTATAGTGTTTCACTCCATGCCACGCTTAACCCACAGATTTCTGCAGATGAATCTCTTTTCAGTGTACTCTTTAGCCAGTGTTCTCTTTAGCCATTTAGCAATCCTTTGCACATCTGAGATTAGGGAGCAGGATGATCTAGGGTTGCCAAATCCGAATTACCTTTCAGCGGGGGAGTCCCGGTCCCCGTCCAGGAGATCGTCGGTGCACATGCAATGATGTCACCTGGAAGTGATGTCATCGCGTCAGGCATGTTGGGGGTGGGACCCTATCTTTAGAGGGAAAACCATAGATCATTCGAGGGAAAACCATAGAGTTTTCCCTCGATTGATAGAGCGTCCCCCCGCAACGTGCCCGGCGCTTTGGGGGTGGGGTTCCCACCAGCGGCCCAATGCGGGCCGGCAAGGAACCAACCCATTGAGCGGGGGTTTCCCCGCCTCCCCGGGGGACCTGGCAACCCTAGGATGATTGGATAAAAGATAATAGTTTCCAGGCAAGGATGGAGCCTCGGCACCCCTCTTTCTTTTGGAAATATAACAATTTCAAATGCAGCAAGTAAGAAAGGCACTAAAAATGAGAGAGCGGGATACTTGCTATCCCATAATTCCTTGCAGTTTTGAGCATGCTTCTTACCTTTATCAAAATAAGGGGCATCACCATACAGCCACAGGATGGTGTCAATAATAATGGCTGGTGGTGTGCTTGAACAGAATCGTATGTTAAGTACATAAGAAGAGCCCTGCTGCATAAGAACACAAGAGCATAAGAACATAAGAGAAGCCAATGTTGGATCAGGCCAATGGCCCATCCAGTCCAACACTCTGTCACACAGTGGTCAAAAATACCAGGTGCCATCAGGAGGTCCAGCAGTGCCCCCCCAGGCACCAAGAATACACAGCATCACTTGCCCCAGACTGGGAGTTCCTATCTGTACCTTGTGGCTAATAGCCACTGATGGACCTCTATTCCATATGTTTATCCAGTTCCCTCTTGAAGCTGCCCATGCTTGTAGCTGCCGCCACCTCCTGTGGCAGTGAATTCCATGTGTCCAGCATCCTGTCTCACACAGTGGCCAACCAGTTCTCTGGAGGGCAAACAACAGGGCATGAAGGCCAAGACTTTCCCCTGATGTTGCCTCCTAGCTCTAGGATTCCGAGGTTTAGTGCCTCTGAATGTGGAGGTTCCCCTCCGTCACCAAGACTAGTAGCCATTGATAGATTTATCCGCCATTATTCTAATCCCCTTTTAAAGCTGTTTATTCCTGTAGCCATCACTACATCCTCTGGCAGCAAATTCCACATTTTAATCACTCTGTGTAAAGTAGTATTTCCTTGTGTCTGTCATGAGCCTACTGGCCATCAGCTTCATTGATGCCCTCGAGTTCGAGTATTTTCAGAAAGGGAGAAAAAAGTTCTCTTTGTCAACTCTACCCCATGCATAATTCGATAAACCTCTATCATGTCCCCCCTTAGTCGTCTATTTTCTAAACTGAAAAATCCCAGACTCTCCAGCCTTTCCTCATAGGGAAGGTGCTCCAAGCCCCTAATCATCTTGGTTGCCCTCCTCTGCACTTTTTCCAGCTCTGCAATGTTCTTTTTGAGATATGGTGATGACTAGAACTGTACACAGTATTCCAAATGAGGCCACACCGTAGATCTATACAGGGGCATTACAATATCAGCCCTTGCCAAATTTGATTTTTTAAAAATTTGTGATCGTATGCATGAATGTTCAAATGGATCATTGAGCCCTGCTTTGCATTTTTCTTTGTATGTATTGTTACTCAGTTTCAAAGAAAAGAAATGACACTGTCTAGCCGCTCCCATCCCACACAGAAACTGGTGCCCGTTGTGAAAAACAAATATTTCACACAAAAAGATAGATCAACCAGTGTAACTCTAGCCTAGAGCTGACACTCTGCACTCTGCACCTCAGTGCCAGACATGTGGGTGTGCAATCACACCAACAAGAGGAACATGAAAACAGAGAAGAAACACTGGAAAAGAAGAGGGATGGTGTGATGTGCACAGTCAGACAGATATGGATACCTGTTAGGGCTGTCAGCTCCAGCTTGGGGAATTTCTAGAGATTGGGTTCAGTGCCTGGGGATGTCAGGGTTTGGGAACAGGAAGAAGCACAGCAGGGATGTGATATCATAGAATCCACTCCCAGAAGCTGTTGTTTCTTCCAAGAGGACTGAACTCTATAGTCTTGAGATCAGTTGTAATTCTGGGAAGAACTCTAGTCCCCACTTTGTTGTTGGTAATCTTAGTACCAGTAAGAATGTTGTTGTTGTTGTTCTGTCGCACAGTTCAGTCCGACACAAGGATAATGTCCCACCTGGGTAGGACCTGGGTCACAGTTAGTGAAGACTAGCTATTCTTGGTGCTCTTGGAGAAGCTATTACCTTCATTCCTCAGTACATTTTAGTTTTGGTATTCAGTGTTTTACTCCTCGTTTGAAAATACGGTGGAGTCTTTTCACGACGACTCTGTCCATCTAGTTACGTTTGCACTGGAAACTCTAACAGCAGAGCCTATTTAAAATCTGAAAATGGTATTTGTGTTTTTTTTAATGATATGAAAAGAGAAGCCATATTCTGTACCAGGATATAGGTCAGCAGACGTACTTGCTTTGCATAATTTAGAATGGTTTTGCCAGCCATATGGAGGAAGGGACAAAGAGCCGTACAGGGCAATGAATGTTTAGCTAATCTGCTGAGCTGTTCCTTCAAGTGCCTAAGATTTGTCAGGCTTTGTTCACTCATTTTTGAGCCTGTCTTTTCAACCACGAGAACCAGAAATTTGCAATATCCCCATGGGTTGGATCCTGCCTAAATTCTATGCATGAAAGCACAGCTTTCGCACCTCCCTCCTCCCAGATCGTTCCGACATGTCCCTTGAAATGCTCCTAGGAGACAGGGGACCTCCATGAGCAACATGATGGGGGAGTTGCCCCCCCTTTTGTACTTGAGTATCTTTTCAATGGGATTCAACCCAAAGAACAGAATATTTGTTTCCTGGGATTCTATTCAAGCAGCATAGTTATGTTGATATTATTCACACACACACACACACACACAATTACATACTTAAATAAGTTCATCTGTCATGGCTTGCTCCCTCCTAAGGGAACTGAAGCTCTGGGATTAAGGAACTACAGTTTTCAAGAATGCTGCATTCATAAGCCCAGGTCCCAAGGAGGCCAGGCTTGCCGTGACGAGGGCCAGAGCTTTCTCAGTGGCGGCTCCTTACTGGTGGAACGAGCTCCCGGAGAAGATCAGAGCCCTGCGGGATCTACTGCAGTTCCGCAGGGCCTACAAGACAGAGCTCTTCCACCAGGCCTTCAATTAGGAGCCGCCCCACCATTACCATCAGTGAGCCCAGCCCTCAGTTTCTCCATCTGGCTCACTCCTTTAAGTGACTCGAGTCAACATTGAGCTGGATCTTAATATGCCATCTTAATATGCAAGTAATGAATAGCACTTTATGGTTTTATGTTTTTATCTGCAATGTATTGTTGTATATTGTTTTATTGGTTTTACCAGCAATTGGTGCCATCGCTGTAAGCCGCCCTGAGCCAGCTTGCAGGGAGGGCAGGGTATTAATAACAACAACAACAACAACAACAACAAAAGAACATAAGAGAAGCCAATGTTGGATCAGGCCAATGGCCAATCCAGTCCAACACTCCGTCACACAGTGGCCAAAAATACCAGGTGCCATCAGAAGGTCCACCAGCTGGGCCAGAACTCCAGAAGCCCTCCCACTGTTGTCCCCCAAGCACCAAGAACACAGAGCATCACTGCCCCAGACATAAGAATGTAAGAGAAGCCATGTTGGATCAGGCCAGTGGCCCATCCAGTCCAACACTCTGTGTCACACAGTGGCCAAAACCCAGGTGCCATCAGGAGGTCCAGAAGCCCTCCCACTGTTGCTCCCCCCCAAGCACCAAGAATACATCAAGCATCACTTGCCCCAGACTGGTAGTTCCTATCTATACCTTCTGGCTAATAGTCACTGAAAGTTTTTCAGTGTCATCACTGAATACACACAGCCCTGGAAATAGTCTTGGTTAGAGTTATGTACAGATGTAACCATGGCTTGCTTTCCTTAACCAAAATTGAGTCGTATATGGTTACCTGTGTGTTTGTGTGTGTGTTATGTGTAAAGTGCCTTCAAGTTGCAGCCAAATTATAGAGACTCCATAGGGTTTTCAAGGCAAGTGCTTAAGCAGAGGTGGTTTGCCATTGCCTTCCTCTGCAAAGTCTTCCTCGGTAGTCTCCCATCCAAGTACTAACCCTGCTTAGCTTCTGAGAACTGATGAGATCAGTCTATACTATACTATTCCGCATCCCATGTGGTTACCTAAACTAGGTTTAAGAATGGCTGCAAGCCAGAATGTGAAACTGTTTCCTGTGTGGGTTCGCAAACCATGGTTTGTATTAACCATGATTAATAGTGCAATTCTAAGCAGAGTTAATCTCTCTCTTCCAAGCTCTGACAGTGTTAAATCTCATGCACAACCTCTGGTGGGGTGGCGAGAACAGGATTATAGTTTTGAGATCTTAAACAAGAGTAAAGCAATAAAGCAATTGTGAGTGCTGTTAAATGGTGCAGAAGACTTCTGAATATTGTAGGCACTGTGTCCGTATCAAGCTTAGCTCACCCCCTACACCACTATCTCCTTGTATTCGGTGCAGATCTGGCAATTTGGCGAGTGGGTAGATGTGGTGGTAGACGACCTCCTTCCAACAAAGGATGGCAAGCTGGTGTTTGTGCACTCTGCAGAAGGCAATGAGTTCTGGAGTGCCTTGCTCGAGAAGGCTTATGCCAAGTAAGCATCTAATCTTTTTATCTGGGAGGCTAGAGGGGTGGCTTTGGGATGGCTGGGTTTATCCCACCTCTACCAGGGGCTGATTGTGTGGCCTTGGTCAAGTCTGTATTGCCACAGCCTCAGAGGCAAACAGGAACAACACTTTGGCCTATCTGACTAGGTTCATAATCAGGAAGGGACCCGGCCAACTCTCTGCCACTGTCATTCCAGAGTAAATGGCTGCTATGAGGCCCTGTCTGGGGGAAGCACTTCGGAAGGGTTTGAAGACTTCACCGGAGGTGTTACCGAGTGGTATGAGCTCCGAAAGCCACCCAGTGACCTCTTCCAGATCATCACGAAGGCCTTGGAGAAGGGGTCTCTCTTGGGTTGCTCCATTGACGTGAGTATCTGTTATCAGACACTTGTAATATTTGTAAGGCTACCTTTAGATATTTTTTTCCTGTAGTATAAAATGTATGCAGATCCTTCAGCCTTTTCTTACAGGGTCTTAGATCAGGCCTATAAGTAGCTAGTCATCTCTGAACAAGTTAAGTGTTTCTCCAGATGAGGGAGGGGGCTGTGGCTCAGTGGTAGAGCATCTGCTTTGCATGCAGAAACTTCCAGGTTCAGTCCCTGGCCTCTCCCTTTAAAAGGATCAGGTAGGAGGTGATATGAAAGACCTCAGCCTTGAGACCCTTATAATCCAAATATGGTTCCTGTGTGCCCCGGTCCAATAAAGCACACAGGCGAGGTTCCTTTTAAAACAGCAGGAGCAAGCTTTATTCAAAATAAAGGGAACACTAGCAGAAACTGCCAAGCGGTTTTACTCAAATCACCATGGTTAACTTTTATAGTATGCAGTAAACAATTCCTTTCAAGCATGCATATTACAACTTTGACACCTTAGTGACGAGAGCATCACTTATACAGTTCCTCACCCTTGTTTAAGCACTTCACAAACCCCCATTGGTCTCTTATCTATCCCCCTGCTTTGCTAGCAGATGTTACTGTGTTCTACTGTGGCCTTCAGAATAACTACTACAAAACAATAGCTTCAGTTTTCCCAGCATGTTTCCATCTGCAGGCCTCATTCTAGTATAATTAACTATCATAAGAACATAAGAACATAAGAGCCGCCAATGTTGGATCAGGCCAAAGGCCCATCCAGTCCAACACTCTGTGTCACACAGTGGCCAGAAATACCAGTGCCATCAGGAGGTCCACCAGTGGGGCCAGGACATTAGAAGCCCTCCCACTGTTGACCCCCCCTAAGCACCAAGAAGACAGAGCATCACTTGCCCCAGAGCCCCTAGCTATACCTTGTGGCTAATAGCCACTGATGGACCTCTGCTCCATATGCTTATCTAATTCCCTTTTGAAGCCGTCCATGCTTGTAGCACCCACCACTTCCTGTGGCAGTGAATTCCATGTGTTAATCACTCTTTGGGTGAAGAAGTACTTCCTTTTATCCGTTCTAACCCGACCGCTCTGCATATCAAGACAGGTACCTCTGTCCATAGGCTTCTTACACTCACTTCTGGCCCTGTAGGGTAGCAGGCCATCCCGTTTTGATAGAGGGCTCTATGGCAATGCTGTACCTATGCAGTAACAACCCCCGGGGCTGGCGGACTGATAAAACTTTTAATGCCGGGGCTGGCAGGCTAATAAAATCCCCTTAATCCTTTCCAATGTAGCTTGAGAGGAGTAAGTTGCACTTGCCTTCCCTCAGCCCGCAACATCAGGTATCCCTGTCTACCATTGTTTCCTAGCTTTGGAATACGTAGAAGCTCACAAGGACACCTTAAGACTTCAGTGTTCTTTTCTACCAAATCTTGCAGCAGCCATCTTGATTATATTCATGGCTAGCAGAGGGGACAAAACAGCATGCAAGCCTTAAGCTATTATCAGTGGTTGTAGTAATAGTTGCAGAAAGATATTTATTCAATTTTTATTCTGCCCTTTGTCCAAGGAGCTCAAGGCAACGGACATGGTTCTGTCTGGTTAGAAATTGGATGCTGGATTAGACAGATCTTCAGGCCCAGTTACATGATGCACAATACTTGGGCTGTTAGAGAGTCCTTGTGTAATAATGGGTAGTTCAGCAAGGCTTTCTTAAGAAGTAGCTTGTGGAAGTTGTCACTTAAATTCCTCTTCCCTTTTTTTCTCTCCCCTTCCCCATCAATCCCCAATCCCAGATCACAAGTGCTTTTGACATGGAAGCTGTCACATTTAAGAAGCTGGTGAAGGGCCATGCCTATTCTGTCACTGGAGCTGAGCAGGTGAGCTTTTGGGTGGCTACTGTAGAGCCATTTCAAGCCACAGAAACAGAGTCCGTCAAAATCTTAACAAACGTTGCCAACAAATATGGAAAACCGAACAATGTCCCACAGACTGGAAACATTCAGTTTACATTCCAATTCCGAAAAACGGAGATATCAAAGTCTGCATTAATTTCTCATGCTCAGAATCTTACAACAAAGACTGTTATCATATATGGAATGAGAAGTGCCAGATGTTCAAGGTGGAGTCAGAAAAGGAAGAGGCACTAGAGATCATATTGCAAATTTACATTGGTTACTGGAGCATATGAGAAAATTACAGGGGGGGGGAAATCAGCTTTTCATAGATTACAGCAAAGTTTTTGACTGTGTGGATCATGAAAAGTTATGGTTGGTTTGAAAGGAAATGGGTATGCCAGAGCCTCTGATTGTTTTGATGTGCAACCTGTACTTCAGACAAGAGGCTACTGTTAGGACAGAATATGGAGGGACAGAATGGTTTCCAATTGGCAAAGGGGTCAGACAAGGATGCATTTGATCTCCCTGTTTCTTCAATCTAAATGCAGAACATATCATAAGGAAAGTTGAATTAACTTTAGATGAAGGTGGAGTCAAAATTGGTGGAAGGAACATTGGTGGAAGGTTCACATTCATAGAATGTTAGAGTTGGAAGGGACCTTGGAGGTCATCTAGTCCAACCCCCTGCACTCTGCAGGAGCATAGCTGAAAGATAGCCCTACATACCTACAACATACCCGAAAGATGATCGTCCAGCCTCCACTTGAAAACGTCCAGCGAAGGAGCAGCCACCACCTCCCAAGGCAGACTGTTCCTCTGCTCAGCCACTCTTACAGTTAGGAAGTTTCTCCTGATATTTAGCCGGTAACGACTCCCTTATAATTTCCACCCATTAGATCTAGTCTTGCAATCCAGAGCAAGAGAGAATAGAGCTGCTCCATCTTCTACATGACAGCCCTTCAAATACTTGAAGACTGCAATCGTGTCCCCTCTAAGCCTTCTCTTTCCCAGGCTAAACATACCCAACTCTTTCAGCCTTTCCTCGTAAGTCTTGGATTCCAACCCTCTCACCATCCTGGTTGCCCTCTTCTGGACACGCTCGAGCTCGTCAACATCCTTCCTAAAATGTGGTGCCCAAAACTGGACACAGTACTCCAGGTGAGGCCTGACCATATCAGAATAGAGCGGAACTACCACCTCCCTTGATCTGGACACAATGCTTCTGCTAATGCATCCTAAGATTGCATTAGCTTTCTTCACAGGCACATCGCACTGCAGGCTCATGTTTAGCTTGTGATCAACCAGAACACCTAGATCCGTTTCACATGTGCTGCTGTTAAGCCAAGTCCCTCCCATTCTATATCCATTTGAGATATGCAGATGACACCAGGTTACTGGCAGAAAACAGGGAAGACTTGAACCGACTCCTGATGAAAGCTGAAGCAGAAAATGCCAAAGGATTACAGCTGAACAGCAAGAAGACTGAGTAATGACTACTGGGGAATTACACAACTTTAAGGTTGATGATGATGAAACTGCAGTTCAAGATTTTCCGTTCCTTAGCTTCATCATCAACTGAAAGGAAGTCTGCACCCAGAAGGAGATTGAGACTGGGGAGGGCAGCCATGGAGGAGATAGAAAAGAAGTAAGACACAGGGAAGGCAAAACAAACTTGACCCAATATCTGAAATCAAGAACCACAAGGGTAAGAAAGAAGCCTGATAAAGAGTCAATATTAAAAACCTAGTGTAAGCTAATTATATTAAAAATACATGTATTTATTAGAAAGGCAGTAAAAAGCATATAAGGGCCTAATGAAAGCCTCACTACAAATTGCAAGTGACTTGAACACAAGGATCAATACCAGTGACCTTAAAATTTCAATTTTCAAATTTATTCTAAGCACTCATTCATTAGAAGATTCTTCTTGTATAGCTGAAAAACCCAAAGTCCTTCTGGGCCATATCAGCTAATGTCCCCACACAATGACAGATAGAAAAGATCCTTGAGTGTAAAGGTGTGCCACTGGCAACCAAGATCAAATTAATTCATGTCACAATATTCCCCATTACGGTGTGCCATGATCTGGGCTGTGCCACCAGAGGCCTACTAGGCCCAGGGAGCCCGGCTAGCAGTAGGGGAGGCTGGGCCTACAAACCCCAGAGGGCCTTGGGAAGTTTTGGCACCGATTTTGACCAATAGGGAAGAAGAGGGCTGGGGAATAAAAGAACTGGTACAAGAGGAAAAGCTGTTCTTCTTCCCAGGGAACAGAGCCAGAAGAGAGGCTGCTGTGGGGAAGAGACCCTCATCCTGAGGGAAGGGTGAGTAGTCTAAGGCCACTTGAGATAGTGAGCTAGGGACAGTATATTTAGACGCATTAGGGCATTTGATTTCTTTTCACCCACTTACTGTATTATTCCTGCACCTTGTTTGTTTGATCTCCTATAAAATAAACTTTTTCCTTGTTGTATTCTGCCTAGTCCTCACGCCTATTATTCGGCCAAAAGGGAGGTCTGAAGGTCTTGGGAGGGTGCTCTGGGCCTTCTCAAGGGATCCTAAATCCAGAGTGGTGGCGGCGTCAGGTGACACCCCAACCTGAGCCGTGACACGGTGTATGGGTGTGAAAGTCGGACGATGAAGAAAGCTGACAGGAAGAAAGTGGATTCATTTGAAATGTGGTGTTGGATGAGAGTTTTATGGATACTGTGGACTGCCAAAAAGACAAATAAGTGGGCTCTCAGTCAAATCAAGCCTGAACTCTCCCTAGAAGCTAAAATGACTAAACTGAGGCCTATCGTACTTTGGTCACATTACATATGAGAACACAGGAGTCATTGGAAAAGACAATAATGCTTGGAAAAGAGGAAGACCCAACATGAAATGGATTGACTCAGTCAAGGAAGTAATGGCACTCCGTTTGTAAGACCTAGGAATACCTGTTAAGACAAGGACATGGTGGAGGTCATTAATTCATAGGCCCACCAGAACTTTGAAGAAACTTGACAGTACCTCACAACCACACACAGTATAATGCTAATTTAGTGACAATAGTGTGCCAGGACTCTATGAAAGATTCCGGTGGGTAGCCATTTTGGTCTGAAGCACCAGAGCAAAGTTTGGGTCCAGTGTCACCTTTAAGACCAACAAAATTTTGTTCAAGTTATAAGCTTTTGTGTGCATGGGCACTTCTTCCATTACACAATAATGATATTCAGACGGTTTGGGCAGTAATTAGATGTCTTCCAGTATAACATATAAGTATGTGCATAATTCATGATTTGTCCACTTCTTGTCTCCTCTCCTGCCCCCCAGTGTGGGGGGGAATGTCCTCCCCAAAATGCCCTCTCAGTGGCCAGGTCATTGCTAGCGGCCTTTACTAATCCACAAAATTGTAATTCAGAAAGGAAGCTTTAAAGAAGGGTTAGATAAATACATACTCAGTTCAAATGCAGTGTTGTCTCCTTCCTCCAAGCATCCTGGGCAACAGTTTATCTCTAACTGGCATCTCTTCTCATCTCTGTGTTCTCACAGATCAACTACCGAGGGCAGAGGGTCAGTCTGATAAGGATACGAAACCCATGGGGAGAGGTGGAATGGACTGGCCCTTGGAGTGACAGGTAAGAAACAAATGATTTGTGTGTCTGTGGGGTGGGGGGAGTTGCATTAAAAACTTCTGTCTCTATACCTGTGACTGAAGGAGACCAGGGCTGCAATCACAGACACTAAATAATCCACTTTCAATCAACTTTCAGTGCACTTTCCAACTGGATTCTGCCAGTTCACACAGTGAGATCCAGTTGGAAAGTGCATTGAAAGTGGGTTGAAAGTGGATTATTTAGTGCCTGTGATCGCAGCCCAGAAATGGACATCCGTATCCTGATCTCTGTGCAAATCAGTTAAGTCGTTTGCCAGGATGAGAGGTCTGCCTGTCAAATTTGTATCCCTCCCTTCGTCCAAAGATCTCAAGACGGTATACATGATTCTCCTCTCCTCCTGTGAAGTAGATTAGGCCGAAAAAGAATAGCTGTCTGTCACCCTGTCAGTTTCATGGCTGAGTGGGGCTTTGAATCTGGATCTCTCCAGTCCAGCCCTCTAACCACTGCAGCATATTAGCGATAGATAGGCACATGCAATTATAGTTTAGGTGTAACAACAAACCACTTTGTTTGTTTGTTATGTGAATGAGCCTGGGGGATCCTGGAGCTTGCGCACTCCCCTCTCCCTCCTTCCTCCCCTTGTGCATGGCTTGAAAATTCTGCTTTCACAGCAAATTATAATCTGCCATGACTCTCAGTGAGAAAGACAGGATATAAATGAAAATAAGTAAAATATCATTGAAATAGCAAACTATGGTTTTTTTGGTGGTTTTTTTGCCCTCCATACCAATGCTCCCTCTAAGTTGTGGAGTCTTGTGAGCAAAACTTCAACTTTGTGAGCTACTGGCATTAAAGTTGTGAGTGAGCGATTTGGCTGCTGCATAAATCAGTTTGCTTTGGAGCTATCCTTCCTGAGCGAAGACAAAAATGTGTGAGCCGGAGGCTAAAAAACTGTGAGCTGGCTCACAGTAACTCAGCTTAGAGGGAACACTGTTCCACACCTAGTTTATTCCTGGTTTGGAGGAAAGCAAACAAACCACAGTTTGTGGTTCAGACAAAATGACAAACTGATTTGCTGTGAAAACAGAAATTATTAACTTCTGAGCCACATACAGAAGGAGGAGAGAGGGAGAGGGAACACGTGAGCCTGAGGATCCCCCAGGCTTTTTTCCACATGGTTTATTGTTGCATCCATTTTGGTGAGAAGAGACAGCGTGTGTGCATGTACACGTGTAACACCTGTGGTATGAACTTGACTTGTTTCCATAGGGATTGTTGTGCTTCCCTTCTGATTCTTCTGTAGCAGGGAGGTGGGGATAGAAAGGCTGTTTCTGTTTTTTTTTTGTGCTCCTTATGGAAAAGCACAACTAGAATTTAGAGATTCACTCAGTGTGCTTGGAAAAAGGAGTTCCATGCCCTGTAATTGATGTGTATGTGTGTTTGCCAAGCAGAAGTGGCAAATGAAAGTAGCATGTTCTTGAATGTGAAATCTAGCATGAATTAAGTCAAAGTTATGAGATAAACACATTGGCTCTTGATCCCCATATCAGTGTAAAGAGTTCAGTTTGGTGAGCTCACTGGAGAACAAGCAGTGTAGTCCAGACTGCAGATGCCTGCTGTTTAATTTTGAAGCGGCGCCTACATAGCAAATATCAGCAGGTAACTTTCGGAAGTGAGCCAGGCTGCATGCTAAAAGGGAACATAATGCCTCCCATGTAGAAACCTGGAAGAAAATCTGCTCATTTCCTGCCTCATTTTGACAGCTCTTTAATTTTTTTTCAACAGTTCTGGGGAGTGGAATGTGGTGGAACCCTCTGTGGGGCAGCAGCTAAGAATTAAAATGGAAGATGGAGAATTCTGGTAGGTGTAATTTCCGTAACCTGTAAGGGTTCCCCCCCCCCTTTTTTTGAAACATTCACAAGTAACTGAACATGAATTCTGCACTCGTTATAATTTTTTTCTCCCCACAGGATGTCCTTCCAGGACTTCCTCCATGAATTCACTCGCCTTGAGATCTGCAACCTCACTCCAGATGCACTGAAGTCACGCAAAATCCGGAAGTGGAACACCACACTGTATGATGGCACCTGGCGGCGGGGGAGCACAGCAGGTGGCTGCAGGAATTTTCCAGGTAGCGCATGTTGTGTGGGATATGGCGGTGGCACCTTGGAAAGCTTTTGACAATCCCGAAGAAGGTGGTGAAGACCTAGCACACACAAGAATGTCATGAGGTGGCCAACCAATATTTGGGTTGTACCACTTCAGATTGCAGGCTGGGGTGTGTTTATGATGTATGCTTGAATATTTTCACTTGGGGAAAAATTCCCCTGCATACAGAAAATGGTATATTAGGAGAGGAAACTGGCTAGAGCTCTTCTTGGCTTCTAATTATCGATGTGCAAGGGATTTTTTTTGGGCGTAGAGGATAATTCAGTCTAGGATTGCCAATTCTAGCTTGGAAAATTCCTGATGGTTTGGGGCCAGTGATGTAAACACAGCAGAAAATAATCTAAAACCATAGCCATTACATTAAAATCTAAGAACATAAGAGATGCCAATGTTGGATCAGGCCAAAGGCCCATCCAGTCCAACACTGTATCACACAGTGGCCAGAAATACCAGTGCCATCAGGAGGTTCACCAGTGGGGCCAGGACACTAGAAGCCCTCCCACTGTTGACCCCCCCCCAAGCACCAAGATGACAGAGCATCACTTGCCCCAGAGCCCCTATTTATACCTTGTGGCTAATAGCCACTGATGGACCTCTGCTCCATATGCTTATCTAATATGAATTTGTGAGAAAAATACACACAGCCTTGTCTGCTTTGAGTGGCAGGGGTTCTCCCAAGGTCTTTGGTGGAGGTCTTTCTCATTGTCTTGAACTTGGGACCTTCTGTACGGAAAGCACGTGCTCTACCACTGAGCCATGGCTCTCCACTTTGGAGACCTGTAAGTGGTAGAAATCTGGAATATAAATAACTTTGCTAAGTGGGGGCTGATGGAGCATCGGTGGCAAGCGGCGAAATGGCGATCAGACGCAACATCAACATGTGGACCGAACGTCGGCGGAAGGCGGAGCCAGGAGACGCAAAGAACGTAGAGGTGCAGGCGCGGCGGAGCCAACATGGACAGAGCCGAAGCCGCGCCAATGCGAACTGCGCGCCGGTGGGCCTGCCGATCACAGCTGACACCGAAGACCACAAGAAGGAGAAGGATAGGAGCCGGAAACCAGGAAGCCGAGCCGACAATAAAAAGCCGAACCGGAAAGAGAAGAACAGCAAAAAGTCCCTCCACTGGGTGCCGGTAGGGCAGTCCCCCCCCCCCCCGACTATGTGTGGCCATAGATAGGGATAATAGAGTAACTGTAAGCCGCTCAGAGACCCCTTGGGGGGTTCGAGCGGGATATAAGCTGAAATAATAAAATAAATAAATCGTTTGAACTGAAAACCTCACAAGGTCTTGGGGTGAGGTGTTCGGACTCAGTGACCCTCGGGCATCTTTCTGGTTCTTTCATGAGCCTTCATCCCATCTCTCTCTCTCTCCCTCTCTCTCCTTTAGCTACGTTCTGGATTAACCCCCAGTTCAAAATCAATCTCGAAGAGGTGGATGATGACGATGATGATGGGAGGAGAGAGTCAGGGTGCAGTTTCCTTTTGGCACTGATGCAGAAACACCGGCGCAAGGAGAGGCGAGTTGGGAAAGACATGGAGACCATTGGCTTTGCAGTCTATGAGGTAACATTGAAAGCTGTCTGGATACTCTTGGGATCCAAAAAGAATGTGTAACTAACTTGTGGAATTCACTGCCAAAGGGTGTGCTTATGACCACTAGTTTAGAAGCAGACTAGACATGCATTAAAACCAGACTAAACGAGACAAGTCCATCAATACCTATTAACCAAGATAGCTGAATGTTCAGGGGCAGTATATCTGTGAAGGTCATTTGCTGGGGGGATAGCAGCAGATTGGATGCATTGCCCTCTGTGCCTCTCCTGTGGGGCATTTGATTGCCACTGTGGGAAATAGGATGCGGAGCTAGATGGAGCATTGGTTTGATCCAGCAGGGGACTTTTCTTATGATGATTTGGGCTAGTGTTGATTCTGTTGCCTATGTAGCTTACTGTCTTTTCTTCTTTTCTTCTCTGCAGGTACCTCCTGAGGTATGTATACAAAAAACAACTCCCAGTGCCTTCAGTTAATGAAGTGGATCACCCACAAAATATATGGAGGGGGAGATCAGTGGTAGAGAACCTGCTTTGCATGCAGAAGGTTTAATAGGTTCAACATCTAGAGTCCACAGTTTTTTAAAAAAGAGATGGGGTAGGACTGAAAAGTTAATAATATAATTTATACAGCACTTTAGACCTACTGTGTTATTGCAAATTGTTTAAAAGATAAAATACCAGTCCTACTTAGTTTCCAAACTGTGATGAGGCCAGGCTAGTCTGGGCTATGAGGGTTGCAGTTTGCAACTTGCAAAGCAGGCTAACATTTTTATCACTATATTGTGGAGCTGGAGGCTGAGATTAATAAAGAGAGAGGCTTGCCTGAAAGTGTTTATGGGATTTGAACACGGAATTACCGAGCTTCACAGTTCATGAATCATTATACCACTCTTATGTAGTACAAAGACTTAAAATGCCAAGAACAAATATCTAGTTTAAATCACCGATTTGGTCAGTTTCCCCATGCATTTCCTGAACAAGCGGGGAAATTATTTGCTTGCTTTAACCATTAATCACGCATGCTGAATAATGCATTTTGAACCCGCTTTCAGGGCACTTTGCAACTGGATTGTATTGTGTGAAATCGCAAAATCCACTTGCAAATGATCGCTGCACTGGATTGAAAGTGCATTATTCAGCATATATGAAAGTGCAAGAAAAGCCTTTATACTGCTTAGGAGCATAATCTGAAATCCCTGGTCCTGTAGCCACATGACTTCTGCACTGCCTTGCTTAGAAACAAGTATGAAATTATTGACTTCCTGTTTGGCTGCTTGTGCATGCGGAAAGATCACTAAGCAAAAGCACTTTGAGAGCTAAAATCCAGTACAGATTTGGTTGTGGTAGATATAAAACAGTCCAAAGGTACAAAAGTTTCTGGAACCAAACCTGGTCGTTACTGGACAGCTTCCTTGACGTAGACTGCAAATGTCCATGGTTGATAGTCTTATAAGTATCCATATTTTGACACAAAAATAAATAAATAAAACACATGACATCCATGTGTAGGTATAACCTATGAGATCAGCTAGCATCTTCCGTTGAACATGAGTATAAATGGGAAGCAGAACACATCCAGGAATGGTAATGTTGCCTCCGTGTCCCGCCTCCTCTCTGCATCCTCTTCATACTTGTGTTCAGCTGAAGATGCCAAGGCCCGGCTTTCTGATCACAAGAAACCTGTGAGTTTACTCTGCTGCTGCTTGTGTCTGCCAAGTCCACCCTCACGAGCTACTAACACCACACCATGTCTTTCTGCCTAGTGACTGTGCCACTACCATTTTTTTTCATACTTAATAAATAAATAAATCACACTCTTCCTCCATGAAGTTCAGGCTATTTATTGAGTCCCAACTTGGCCTCCATGATCTTCTAGTTCCTAATTAAACTCCAAGACCAGACTAGGCCTATGGGCAGCATCTCTAGTCAGAGTGGGAACAGGACAATGAGTCATAAAACCCTAGAGAAAATGGTAGGGTTCCTCTTCCAAAAGGAATCACCTAATTGGCTTAGCTGCAGTCAGAGCAGAAAAAGAACACCTATCCATGCAAGGGGGTATGAATAACTAGAGTGATAAAGCCTTGAAGGGGAGGCTACTATTGCCTTTCGCAAGAGCAAGCAAAGGAAGAGGGTGTCTCTTGTGGGATAGGCCCGTGGCAGGCTGATGTGTCTCAGGATCTGCAGAAAACCATTAAGCTAGGGAGCTAGGTTGGTTAGGGTGCGTAGCTGACTGTGGTGTTTTAACTCAGTTTTGCATCTTCACATGAGTCTGGAATCCTTCCTTTTTTACACAAATAATCTGGAGAAGTGTGCATGCGCACAAAAGCTTATACCCAGAATTAAACTTTGTTGGTCTTAAAGGTGCCACTCCACTCAAACTTTCTTCTGTTGCTTCAGACCCAACATGGCTACCCAGCTGAATTTACACAGATAAAGTTAATCTTGTTTTTACTGAAGAGAGCTGGGTTTGTCCCCAGATTGCTTGGGTGTAAAAGAACTATGCCAACTCTCAGTTGAAACAGGTGTGTGTGTGGGAGATGGAAAGAGGCAGAAGTGGGCCTATCAGATTCTGCTTAAGATATTTAAAGGACAGGTATAGTGACAGCTACCTGTTAAGAGTGTGGGACTACTGAGTCATTTGCAAGGATCAACACTTGTGGCAAGCAATAGCCACATGGCTGCAGGGGGGCTGGGGAGGCATAGCCCTCCTTCTCTGGACTTCCCTGTCCTCCCCCAAGAATCACCGTGTACATAGTTGTTGTATACTCCCCCAGTTTTGTTCTCAGAACAACCTTTGAGAGGTAGTGTAGATTTGAAGATAGCAGTCATTAGTCCAAGAAAGCCCACTCAACTCATGGCTGAGAGTAAATTTCATGATTTCTATCTAGGTCTCTCTGGGGTAAGTCCAACCCACCATCCACTGTATCATGCTGGAAATATGGCCGAGTACTTACAGTGTCCAAAGGGGAGTCCCATGTCGCTTAAAGCTCACATGGGGAGGGTAAACAGATAAAACACTTCAACCTGTCCCTTCTTTCTCTCTGTCAGTGTGCGGGTCAGCCCTCAGTCCACCTGAAGCGAGACTTCTTCCTGTCAAACTCCTCGCGGGCCCGCTCAGAGCAGTTCATCAACTTGCGCGAAGTCAGCACGCGTTTCAAGCTGCCGCCGGGCGAGTACATTGTGGTGCCTTCCACCTTTGAGCCTAACAAGGAAGGAGACTTTGTGCTCCGGGTCTTCTCTGAGAAGAAAGCTGGGACAGTGTAAGTCGACAATTCTCAGGGTCAGGTGACTTACAAAAAAACTGTAACAGAATTAAAAGCATATAACTTTTCAGAGCCAAGAAACCCAGTTGGCCTAAGGGACCCTACTTGGCAGCAAAGCCAAGAAGTTGGAAGGAGGAGGGCAGGTCATCTGGTAACAGCCAAGAAGGGAACAGATCCTAACAAGTGCAAGAGAAATAATGGGAAAGTGGATCTTGATTCCCTTTTTGATCCCCTCCCCACCTAACAGTATCTTGGAATCTTTTAACCTGCATGATGTGTCACATTTTCCTCTTTTGAACCCTAAGTCAGCTGTATAGAAATATTGATATCTAAATGTCCCTGCATTCTCCTGTGATATCTTTCTGTATAGAAATATTGATTTCTAAATGTCTCCATTCTCCTGTGATATCTTTCTGATAACAGAAATATTGATTTCTAAACATTTCCTGCATTCTCCTGTGATATCTTTCTGATAACAGGCTATGCCTTGTTTCCTGTTACAAGCCAAATGGTGGGCCCCATGGCCTCAATTGCATGCCATATAACTACACATTCTTCACACTTCCATGCTGGAAGCTAGGCCAGCGTGCAAAAAGTCACGTAGCCTAGCTGATGGGGAGACTGGAGTTTGGGGTCACCTGACTGCAGAGGAAGTCTCCGGACATCCAGCCTATCCCCACTTGCACCCATGACAACCAAGAATTGGACACACCCATGTCCACTCGCAGTTGGCAGCATGGCCACAGCTGATTGTGATTGGAATGGGTCTATAACTGGTCATTCCCAATTTGAGAGAGCTGTGTTCTCTGCTGCTCTTGCTCTTGTTCTGTTCTGTTCTCTCTGCTCTGTGCTTGTTTATTGCACTTGGAAATGCTGTCTTGCCATGCGGTCTGTTGGAGAACACAGACTTGCTTTGTGACTTAAAGCACATGGAGTGCAAAGATGGGATTGTTATTCAAAATCCCTTGGACTATTTGGACTGATGGATTCCTGAAGTTGGTAAATATGTATCTTTTACTGCGTAGTCAAGGCAAACTGCCTTAGGCTTGTTATTTTGAAATCTTTATGGTCTAATTGCAATGCTCTGTGTTGAATAAAAACTTATTCTTGTTTTTAAATGGTCTATGATGTGAAACTGAGTTCCAAGGCTAAACTCCTGTGCCTTCTACTCACCCTATAAACTACCTTTGTAAGAATTAAGCGTGCATCTCTGGGAAGAATTGCTAATCTGTTAAACCCTACATGCCAACTGAGATTTTGAACCTCTAATCTCAGGTTCGGAGGGGGATTATTGTAGAGGTTCTGGTGGCATATTGCTCTGAATCCAGAGAGGGTAGCCTACCTCTCTGGGTGGTTGTATTGTAAAAGTATAGGATTCCCTCTAATTCCTGGACCGGCTTGAGGGGCAGAATCCTATACATCAGCAAAATACATTTTTGGTGCCTAAGGTAGAAAATCAGAATGCCCCCCTTCCACTAATTAATGCAGGGTTCAAGCTACTGGTACCTTCTTGTGCATAAGCCTCACTGAAATGAATTAAATCTGGGCAGCTTCTCCTAATTTAATTGGGGTTGACTAGCATTACTTTCTGGCAAATGATACATTCTGCTCATGTTGAGGGACACTCACCTCATGAATTCCCAGGAGAGACCCTGTTGAAAGCCTCTCTCACTTTTCTCCCCTTCTCTTTCTCGCCTTAGGTTTTGGATTTCCCCCTTCATTATGCCCTGTAACATTTACTCATCTCTGTGTATTCTGCAAAGTTTTAAGTTTCTGTGCTGAGATCTTTTTTAATGCATTCATTCTTCTTCCGTAGGGAAATGGATGATCAGATCCAGGCTACCCTGCCAGATGAGGTAAGAACTCCGTTCTAGCAAAACCCTGTTATAAGAAGGAAGGCTTAGATTTGTATTCTGGAGTAAATGGGAAAGCCTGTCTTTCAGCTTAGGCATTCCAAGCAGATCCCGTCTATAGCAGTGCCCTGTTCTCACATCATGGAGGCCATTTTGACTTAAAGCTGGGGCAGCCAGCACATGAGAAAATGAAATATATTTTCCCAAAACAAACTGAGGTCCATGTAGTCCAGTATCCTTTTCCCCATTAGAAGCTAGCTGGAGTCTCAAAGCAGAACAGGAAAGCAATAGCTGTCCCCATGAATTCAGAGGTAGACTGCCTCTGAACAGGAGATTCCATCAAGCTTTCACGGCCCCTTGCAGTTCCATACTCCATGAAAGTACCTTAATAGTGCCTTGCTGTATCAGACAAAGGCTGACAGCAGCTAGATAGATGCCTCCAGGAAGCTGACAAGAAAGGTACAAAGGGGATGGCTGCCCATTGTTGTTCGTTCCCACTGTCTGGTAATGAAAGCTGTGCTGCTTAGGAACATGGAAGTCCTGTGTAATAATAGTTGCAGATGATTATTAATAAACCTGTCCTCCTTCATGAATGAGTATAATACTGTTTCTAGAATAAATAAAAGTACACTAAACACATTAAAGCCCTCTATGCTAGTCACATCTTGTGATCGTGGATTTCTTAAGTTAACTGCACATTCAGCATCTCCCCGGCCAGCCTGAATTGACTGTGTGCACTGGTAGTACCTACTGATGACACCTGGATTGATTTTTGGCTCTCAATCTTCCCAGATGATTTCCAGGTGCTTAGGATGATTGTGCAGCAGAGCTATGCCCTGTATGTCAGATCTGTCTGCCTCTCCATTCTACTTGATGGGGCTTCTTTGACCGTGCAAATAGGCTCTCGGTCAGTCATTCCCCTTTCCTGCTACCCTTGGTTCTGTATGTCCCCAGCTGACTGTGGCTGCTAACTGGGGGGGGGGGGGGGGGGGGGGCCCACCTGTAGCCCTAGTCAGAGAGATTTCTGTCTGCCTGAGGCATTGGGGGCCCTGAGCCTGACAATGTAACGCTTCTGATCTCTCTGCATGTTGACTTTACCTCTTCTTGCTCCCCAGAAAGTGCTTTCGGAAGGAGAAATTGATGAAGGTTTCAAGCAACTCTTCAGGCAGCTGGCTGGAGCGGTAAGTGTGCAGAAATAACAGTGAAGGGGAACGTAGAGAGAACTTTGGCAGATGTGAATTCATTTCCATGTTACAGATGGAGGAACTGAGGCTGTGAGGTTTACCTAAGGCCTCCTAGTAACGAGTGAGATTCAAACCAAGGATTGCTGGATTTGTAATTCGTTCTTAGCCACACCCCTGCACCAAGCTCTCAATTAAACACTTTCAGTTAAACCTTTAGTGAGGAGGGTATAAATGTAAAATAAGCTGTTGTTAACAAAGAAGAAAACGCTTAAAGGGAGAAACCAAGGAAAAGGAGAAACACTTGGAAAAAAGATTATCAGTCCAGGCACTTTATTCCATAGGGCATGGTGTTAGCCACAGATGTTCTTGATCAATTAATATATGTTTGAAATGGCAGCAGCCCGGGAAAATTATAACCCTGGCGTGGTAGTCCCTGTGTTGCCCCCCTAGGGAGGCAGAAGGGGGTATGGAGTAGGCACAGCAGGCAGCTTCCAGCAGTTTGTGATAGAAGTGGTCATCTTTTGTGTAGCTTTATGGGGATGACAGATTAGGATAATCAATTGGGTTTACATCTCTGTGTAAAATGCTGGGTTGTTTTTTTCTTTTCACATGCCCTTTCTTTCAGGATATGGAAATCAGTGTTCGCGAACTGCAGACCATCCTCAACAGGATCATGGGCAAACGTAAGTCTCTGCCTCTTCCCCTGTCCCTTCCTTTTATGGCAATGAATAAAATGTCCATCATCATTGGGATTTGTGCAGAAGAATGGCTTGCATATTGCAGGGATTTCTGAGGCTGCAGCTCCAGGCAGGATCCCTGACGTGGGGACCTTCCAGAGTCAGAGCTTCAGGGAAGGTTTTCTGTTCAGTGTCTGCACACTCAGCTCTGTACTTCTTCCCGCTATTGTGCTCTCCCAATACATCATAGTGGCTGGCAACACATTCCTTGCAAAAAGATAAGAAAAAGCAAGCTCTAAACATACTCACTTGCTTTAAATTGCAGATAAAGACCTTCGGTCAAAAGGTTTCAGCATAGAGTCCTGCCGGAGTATGGTGAATCTCATGGATGTATCCTTCTTCTGTGGTTTTGGTTAATAGTAAAAATAGCAATACTGTTGTTAATGATAATTATAATCAGTGTTCCCTCTAAGCTGAGTTAGTGTGAGCTAGCTCACAGTTTTTTAGCCTCCGGCTCACACATTTTTGTCTCAGCTCAGGAAGGAGGGCTCCAGAGCAAACTAATTTCTGCAGGAGCCAAATTGCTCACTCACAACTTGAATGCCAGTAGCTCACAAAGTAGAATTTTTGCTCACGAGACTCCACTGCTTAGAGGGAACACTGATTATAATACTTCACATTTCTGCAGTACTTTTTTGATGTCTAGTCTAGACAGACAAGACAGTCATTGCTTTCACGTGGCATATTTGTTTGTTAGCGCTATCATGCACGTGTGATATGTTGAGGTGGTAGCTGGCCATCTCAGGAACCCACCTCAAAAATCCCTTGATGATTTCACATGACCTTTTTCGCCCATGGCAGTTAGAATGCTTGTATCATGCTCCCAGGAAAGAGGATTTTAATATCTGTTAGCCATGGACTTGATTCCAAATTATTTGAAAGAACAGAGACTATCTAGCCACTTGTGTGTCTGTGGATCTCCTTTAAAATAATGGCTTCTACAGCTTCCTTTAGATAGTTAGCAGTGGTTTATGGAAGCTCTGGAGGCAGGTGAACACATTTTGATGGGAAAGATTTTTTAAAACTGTCAATAAACAATTCTAAAAAAGAGAAAGCATAGATGTTCCATATCTCAGTTACAGACCCCAGCCCTTCATGGAGTGCACTACACCAGTCACCCATTATTGAAAACTAGAAATAAGGCCCGTTGTGGAAATAAATACAACGAGATCTAGAAAGAGGCTCTGGGAGAGTGCTCTGGCTTTGGGCAAACAGTGTCAGTCTGCTTTTAAAACATGAATCTGGGACCTGCACACCACCAGAATACAGCAGATTCCATATGCAACTGACATTCCAACTGCCTTGCGGGGGGGGGGGAGTTTGAGGTGTGGAATGGAGTGAAGTCCAATCAGCTTCCATATGCAAAAGACCAGGTTGTCGCAGCAGTTGTGGTGTGGGCGGGACCCGGGCTTTGCCTTCTGATTGGTGGTGATATATGCTGAGGAGCAGTGCCATCAGCCATACACTAAGGGAGTGCATTTTAGAATTAGAACTTTGGCACCCACTATTCAATTATATATAAGGAGAGATATTAACCATGACACATTAATATTTCTACTAAAAAAGTAATTCCTTACCCTTGAAAAAGAAGGCGTTATTTAGACAGAAAAAAAAAAGTTCAGATATACTTTTAAGATAATGTATTTTGCATGCTCATTAAGGTTGTTTCTGTTCCAATATGCAATGAAAGTGTGTCAGGTCTCAGTACATTTTTCCTGCACACTTTTCCCTTTCTCTATTTTTTATATAGAGTTTCCCCCCATAAAAATCCTTTAGACCATGAAATGCATAGCATTTGCAACAATCCACATTTGTGGCAAGTACGCTTACCAGATTTCATTGCACCAGCCATAAACACCCCAGAATCAAAATCTCGACAAAATGCCTGGGAGGAAACCTGATGCCAAAAGTTTAGAAGTATCAGCTCCTAACTAATAGATTTGAGGAGTGCTTTTTGTAATCAGGGTCCTGTAACCAAAAAGTCCCAGTCCCTTATAGCTTGACTTTAGAAGGTCGGTGCCCAGTACAGTACAGCCAGTGGTCCCTTAAGTACACTTTGGGCTTAATAATTAATAGCCAGCAATTGAATTGGACCTGGAAGCCAAACAACAGCAAGTGTAACTTTTAAAACTGGTGACATGAATTCCCTATAACAACTTACCTCAAAACTGGCAATTTTGCTTCTATAAGTGAATCTTTTTCAAAGGCAGTCCCACATTACAGATGGGCTGAGGATGGGACGGAGCTCTTCCACCAGGCTTTCGATTAGGGGCCGCTGCCCCCCCTGCTATTACCATCATTGGGGGGGGAAGGGCCCTAGGATGGAATGAAGAAACACCGGAATTGACACCCAATACTAAGGACATGGAATGCCTACCAGGGTGTTGGAAGTGGATGCGGTTGACATCTCCCGAGGCTCCGGCGCTGAGATTGTTGAGCACTTTAATGTATTGTATTTATTGTTTTTAAACTGTATAACTTGTTTTAAATGTAATTTAAATTGATGTTTTACTATGGTAAGATCTTTTACTATGTAAGCCGCCCTGAGCCCTACGGGGGAGGGCGGGATATAAATCTAATAAATGAAATGAAATGAAATGAATGCGAGAGAGGAACTTGTCTATGCAGTTAGTTTCCAGCAGAGACATGAGCCAAGGACTTCCTGGTCCAAAGCTGTGATGCTTCAGTGGCTCTCTTTCTATTCTTAAGCCGGTCCCCACAGGTGTGATGGGGCAGGATGCAGACTTTCTCCCCTAAGCCAAGCTGCCCCTGATTGCTATCCTCACTTTCAGACTTGATTAGCCATGTTGCACAATTGAGATGTGTGGAAGGGCTGCTCTTTGAGGAAATCCAAGGCCTGCTTTTGGCGCATGACACTACCTGTATAGTTCTTTGGATCTTGGCGAGGTTCTTTGGGGTGATGGTCAATGGGAACATGTGGTATTCCAACAAGAGTGTCTCCTTAACAGCAACCTCCTTGAACAGAGAGATGGGAATGGGAAACTTGGACTTGTGGAGTTCAACATCCTGTGGACCAAAATTAAGAACTATTTGGTAAGTACAGTCTTTCCCCTCTTGCCTGCGGAGGAAATGGCTGCCGATTGATTGATTGGATTGTTTACGTCACTCATTAACCAGTTTATAGCATTCCTTTGCTGCTTTTCTATTTAAAAAAATATTAAAAATCGCTATTCAATGAGTTGTCAAAAATAGCAGACACCTACAATCAGCATGTTAAAAGATCAGATAAAGACAAGAATGAAAAGAATCATTCTGATGATTCTGCCCTCTAATCTCAGGAACTTTAAGTGGCTCTTCCATTCGGCTCTTGAGGCTGGATGAGGGCTTCAGACTTTGCTCAGTAGCGTGGTAGGATCCAAACCTCCAGCTGAAGCTCAGTCTCTGAGATTTTGACTACATTACATTCATCACATCAAGAATAGCCATGTGCAGGGCTCTTTTGTAGAAAAAGCCCAGCAGGAACTCATTAGCATAATAGGCCACACCCAGCAGCAGAAACTTATTAGCCTATTAGGCCACACCCCTGACAGCACAGTTCATTAGTATATTAGGCCCCCCCATACCTTCCCTTGGCTTGCTCGGGTGCCCCGCAGCTGCAGGGACCCCGGGTAAGCCGGCTCTTGAAGGGAAGGGAAGGCAGTTTAAATTGGCTTCCCTTGGCTTGCCCGGGGGCCCCGCGGCTGCGGGGAGCCCAGGCAAGACGGCCTGGGCCTGTGGACAGGCCGGGGAAGGCATGGCGAGGCATTTAAATGCCCCCCCGATCCTTCCAGGGGCCCCCCTGGCCTGCCCGCCTTGGAGTTGCCGGGGGTGGGTCGCTCTCCAGGCCTTTCCTCTGTAGCCACACATGCAGAGGTTTTGGCTGTAGTGGGCGTGGCCAACTCTGAAGCCAGCCGGAACTCCGTTCCTGTGCGTTCCTGCCCCAAAATAGCCCTGTGTTAAGCCAAGTCCTGACTGCTGATAATTCTGGAGGCTGCCAGGGAGCCACTAACCAGCCACACCTCCCTCTCTCCCTCCCTCTCCCTCTGTCTCTCTCTCTCTCTCTCCCCCCCCCCATCCTTAAGGGTGTGGAAGGGGGAAGAGAAGCAACAATTAGTTCCTAAGGAAACATAGGCAGAGGTAAACAGTGTGTGGAGAAAGGTGGGCAGGCCCTCTATAATACTCCTCCAGATTTCTGTGCCGGTCTCTGAGAGAGAGTCCAGAATTTGCAACAGGCAGGATTACACATGGGTGTTTGTCACATAATGAGAGTAACATGTGGCCAGGCTGTTAGCCATGACTCTATACTGGTCTCTTGCTTGACTTCATAATTTACTCATATGTGTGACTGTTGCTTCCTTGTAGCCACATCAATCCCTCATCCATGTCAAGAGAGATGCCATCTTCAGGGGAAAGTTCTGCTAAACATTTTTTTTTCTTTCTGGTTTGTTAGCAACAGGTGTCCTCATCCCCCCCCCCCACACCAGTTAGCTATTCAAGGATGTTTCTCAAGCCTTCCTAATTATCTCACTCAATTCAGCTGGATGTGGTTGTGAGAGGAAGAGAGCTTGCTCTCATCCAGAATCTACCTCAGAGACAGCATAATGATTGGTTGAAGAAGGTCAGGACTCGCAGTGTTCCCTAAGCTGTGTGGGTGAGCGGTCATTCATTAACACAGGAAGCCCTGCTCATTAGCAATCTGGAGCCGCACAGGGTCTTGCACTGCCCATTTTAAGATTACCAGGAAATCCAAAAACAACATCCGTGACAAAAATAACAAAGAGTCGATAAAGATATGTTGTAAGTGTATTTAGAGTGAGAATTTTCTTATTTTCTGTGTGCTTGAACTACCAGTGGAAGTATATTGCTTTTTAAATCTTTCTTTACCTTCATGAATAAAATTCTGTGAATTGCTGGGCCAAACCCAAGGTTAACTTGGCTATGTTACATCAAAGGGGTTTATTCCAGGGTCTCAGGTCAGAGATGGGAACAGATTTCTCAGACCCAGGCAGGACAATCCAGAGCGTACTAGTCAGGCAAAAGAATTGGCACTACATTTTACTGGTGATACATGAAGTGGGCCTCAATTTTGGCCCGCTAAGGACAGAAGGTCCACACACATGCACACAATCTTGTGGCTCCCTCTTCTTTTACACTCACTCAACAAGAGTTGCAAAACTCTTGGTGCTTTGGGGGAGCTGCTTAAGGATGCCCTCAGTTCTGGGAGGCTGGACTCACTGTTTTGTTTTGGTATCTTTCTCCTCATATTTTAAGGTGGTCTTCAGGAAATTTGATCTTGATAAGTCAGGAAGCATGAGTGCCTATGAGATGCGGATGGCTCTGGAGGCTGCAGGTGACGTGTCTCATTTTCTTTTATTCAGTTCTTATGCTGCTTTACAACCAAAATAGTCCTTAGGGCAATTCGCAAAAAAAAAAAAAACCAACCCTTGCAGAATTAAAAGCCTATCACTTTTCAGAACTGAGAAGCCCATTTAGCTCAGAGACCAGTAGCAGGGACAAGAAGTTGGAAGGGGGAGGGGGTCTCATTTGATTATTTCCAAGGAGGGAACAGATCCTAAAAGGTGCAAGAGAAATAAGGGGTAAGTGGATCTTGATGCCCTTTCTGATCTCCTCCCTATCTAACAATATCTTGGAATCTTCTTTGGGCCCACATGACATTTCACTTATTTTCGTTTTTTGGACCCAAAGCCAGCAAAATGAAATTTTGGTGCCTAAGGCAGAAAATCCAGTGTCCCCACCCTATCCACTAATTAATGTAGGGTTCAAGCCACTGGGATCCTTTGTGCACAAACCTCACTGAAATGAATGCTACCTGGGCAGCTCCTGTTACTTGAACTGGGGAATCTCTCAGAAGAACTTCCTGAGGGACTGGGCCTCATGGGTCATCTCTGCCCACCTCCCACTCGTTCATGCTTAGTGGTTTTTACTCAATGTAAGGGTGTTTGGGTTTTTAAAAAATCCTCTGTGCCACTGTGGAATTCCTCGTAGCAAGGGCTGTGTGTGAATGATGCAGCCAAACAGGTGAGGCTGATCATGTGGGGAAGACCCACAGGGTCACCTCACTCATGCAGCCCAAAACTGGACAGCAGCTGCCACTTAACTGTGTGAGAAAGCATCCTTTCTCCTCTCACTATGGGATTTTCAAGTGTATAACTTTCTGCTTTCTTTCAGAGGGTAGCTGTAGAACAGCTAGTTTCAAGTCCAGTAGCAGCTTAGAAACCAATGAGATTTTGGGGGGTACAAATTTCCAAGAGTCAAAGCTCTGACGGAGTTTTAACTCTCAAAAGCTTATACTCCAAAAATCTTGTTGCTCTCTAAGGTGGAGTAGCTTTTCTGCTTTCTGAATATGTGATTGCACAGCCATTTTTAAGGTAGCTTGGTTTCTAGACTAAATGCATCTTTGTTGTGTGTGTCCTGGCAGGCTTCAAGCTCAACAAGAAGCTGTACGAGCTGATCATCACCCGCTATTCTGAGCCAGATTTGGCCATCGACTTTGACAATTTTGTTTGCTGCATAGTGCGGCTCGAAACCATGTTCCGTGAGTGCTGTTTTCTTAGGCTATCTCTTTTCTTTAGCTTGTGCCATCTATCAGGCAGGTTCATGGTGGCATTTGGACCACCACTCTTGGTACAGCAGGAGTTTCACCTTCACACCTGAGCAAGGGTGGCTCATGGGGCATGTGCAACCTATTTTGACAGAACAAAGCATCTTTAAGACCAACAAAATTTTATTCAAGGTGTGAACTTCTGTGTGGAAACACATGTGTGCATGCACGCGAAAGCTCACACCGTGAATGAAACTTTATTGATCTTAAAAGGTACCACTGGACTCTAACTTTGTTCTGTTGCTTCAGACCAACACGGCTGTCCACCTTGAGCTATATTTTGACAGAAGTTATTCATATGATAGTGACATGTCTGTGGGAAGTGTTTTAAAAGTGAACATTATTGAGTTGTGCCTCTGAAAGAGCTTGGGAAAGTCAGGATCACAAGCATTTTAGTCTGGAACAAATTATGTGAATTTTTTCCCCTTCTTTGGTCAGTCTTAATCTGGCTGTAAATCTATTCTTGGGAAACTGCAAGGGAGGATATTGCTCACTATACAGCAACAATAAGGGAGTTTAAACCGTGTTCAGTAAGGTAGAATCTGGGCAGCAGAAATGATAGTGTCAGTGCATACAAAGATTCTCCCATGCCGTCCCCCAGTTTTGTACAGATTCACATGGGTAATAGTAGGGAGTAGCAGCAGGGGCCCCAATGTCACCTCTGTACCAGGTCCCATAAACCCTCCGGGCAACCCTGATAGGCTGTGCATGGAAGTGCAGGGCAAGCAGAAGGATCACTATCACTGGTTGAACTGCTCAAAGCCAATGAAGGAAGACGAGTCTATGGAAAAAAGAAGTATGTATAGCTAACTACTTTTAAAATGTCCAGGACTATAAAACTAAACTGAGAGCTAGCGAATGCTCAGGTCCAGAGTCCAACTTTTGCATGTCCAAGTGCTAGCCCTCAGAATGTGTTTTGGCTTTAAGACATTGCCACCTCCATATTACATCCTGCTTTTGAAACTCCATTAAATTTCCAAATGGTTTGCCAGAGGGAATGGGGGGGGGGAGAAATACCGGGTTCTTCCTTGGACAGTTCTTCAGGTTCTGGCTTTGGAGTTTTTGGACCTTATCTCAGTTTGCTTCCCAGAGAAACCCTGCAGCCAGCCTGTTTTGAGTTTAATTCTCTCTCTCTTTCTGTGTCTGTTTTACCAGGGTTCTTCCAAGCCCTGGACACTGACAGAGATGGAATCGTCACCTTTGACTTGTTTAAGGTAATGTGTGTTTTTTTTTCAACTTTATTTATAACTTTTAACTTTAACATAACTTGATTTTTATAGAAAAATTTGACATACAAATTGAACAGTAATACAAACCAGTATATAAACACAAGAAGAAAAACAGTCAATAATAATAATGTAGTTTCACTGTATAGACTTCAAAAGTATATCTCTATAACAGATAAGGGTAAGTCAAATGGATCAGCAATATGGTGACATCACAGTGCCGAAATGATTTCCAAATACCTTTTGGGGATAGTATCTGAAGGAACATAAGCATTAGCAAAGGTTGCTTCTAAAAATGGAAGCCATTTAGTAAGGTAATGTGTTTTGTTTCACCTAAGCCACTAAGAGTGTCTTAGACATTCCGATGCTGGGGCCGGGATTAAAATGCTGGGGCATTTTGACAGGCGTCCTTCATGTTAGCATGTAGTTCCTTTATACTGAGGACTAGCATTCCCAATGTTGACTGGCCGTTTCTCACTCTCTCCTCTGCAGTGGTTACAGCTGACCATGTTTGCCTGAAGAAGACACAGCGCCAACCCTGCACGGCTGTCAGGCCTCCCTCCCTCCTGTTTCTTACCTGCAAGTGCCTTGAGTCAGGACGTGGTAGCTTCTTGCTTGATGCCATCTCTGCTTCCAGCAAAGCTCCCCTGCTTTCCACACGCAACACTTAGCCTCATTTGCCTCACGTGCCAGGTAGACTCTCTTGGCTCCCACCATTGTGCCTGGTCACTTGTGACTTCAGAAGCCTTTCAAGTTCACCACCTCCTGAAAAACCACCTTTTGCTTTGGATATCCTGTAGCAGCAGCTTTTGGCAAGAACAGTGGAGTGCCACAGCTGCCGAGGGGCCTTATTGCTTGATCACAGGCTTTGTTGTCTTTAAAAGAGAGTCTATCACAGTGCCAACGTGACTGATGCCAACTCTGGGCAAGAGTCGTCAGCACTGGGCAAGGCAGTGCATGCTGGGAAAATGCTGGCTTCCAGTGGCCAATCTTTCTATAGACTTCTTTTGTGCTTTTTTTTCCTGACATCATGGTTTGGCTGGACTTCCATAATTTCTGTGTTCTTGAGAAGCGTGTGAAGGAAGGGTCAGATCATAGCCAAAGAAGCATTTTTTTTTTAATGTCTCGTGTTGGACTCTCAGGCATATGTCTTAAAGCATGCCTCTGCCAAACTGGCCACCAAAATACACTTCTCTCTGTCCTTTTGAAGATGGGTGCAAGTCTTCCACCATATTTCCAGATGCTTCCCTATGCTCCCAGTTGCCGACCATAGCAACCTGGCTCATCCCAAAAGTATAATTACAGCCATGCACGCTGGGAATACTCCATAGGCCAAACTTTCTAAAGGCTTTTTGCCATTCTTCTAGTAGCTCTCTCTATCCCACCCTCCCTTCAGAGCATTCAGGGCATTATACATGGTATTCCCTTCCTGCTTTGCCACTGCAACTACCCTGTGAGGTAGAGTTAGGCTGAAAGAAAGCGGCAAGCCTAAGGCCACCCAGGTACTAGCCATTGTACCACACTGGCTCCTCCCACCTCTTAGGCTTCTGTACTGATTATTTCACTGTTTGTCAGTGAAATGCCTACTAAATTTTGAACCTTCATGTTGATGCCAAGGCCTGTTTTCTTCTGGTGCCAGAGTCACTTTCTTTTCATTGTACATATTCCGGCCTCTAGTATATTGCCTGTTGACAAACACACGTTGTGGCCGTTTGAGCCCTGAGGCCTGACAAAGGAATCTTTTCTTAGGAATAGGCCTTCAGCAAGTGGCCAGTCCTTAGTTCACATGAGAAAGTCTGAGCCATGGTGCATATAGTGTTTTCTCTGCCACAGTCCATTTTGGGGGTCTTTGGCACCCTTCATAATCTGCTTTGTAGTTCACCACTTAAATGCCTCTGCAGATTCACTGAAGAGATATTCTGAGAGACTGGCTAAATCTTGACTAGCTCTGTCTGTACCTTTCAAAGTTTGGGTTCTCACCACTGGTAAAAAAAAAAACCTTTTTATATGTTCTTCCCCCTACCTCCTAGAGCAATTTATGTAGGATGCAGTTTAGTCTTACGAGCAATTCGAAGCACTTGTAGCCAGAGTATTGTGGGATCACTGCTGGCAATAAGAACATAACTAGATCCTGCTGGTTCAGACCAGTGGTCCATCTAATCCAGCATTCTGTTTCACACAGTGGCCAACCAGTTGCCCTGGAGGGCCAGATGAACAGGGCATAGAGACCAAGGCCTTTCCCTGCTTCTGCCTCCCAGCACTGGTATTCAGAAGGTTGCTGCCATTGTAGATGGAGGCTCCCTTCAGTCACCATGACAAGTTGCCATAGTTCCTCCTCTGTTAGCAGCAAAGGAGGTTTTTAACTGGGTAGTACCCAATACCAGGTCTTTCTCATCTTTGGTTAATGGGCCCAAGGAAGAGGCCACCCAAAATTAATAGAGGTTAGGTGTAAAATGACCACTAATCTTATTTTAACCCCTAGGGATGCTAGTGAAGTGAAAGACAATCCATGTAACTTGGTTAGTCTTCAAGGTGCCACAAAACTGTTTGGTATCATGCTACTTCCTGTGTATCTTTCTGGAAACTTCTGCAGGCGTCCCAGTGCTTGATCATCCCTCACTTGAGCCCCAAAGGGCGGACTTTTTTCGTCTTGCAACACCCAGCTTGGGAAGTTGGTGTCTAAAGACTGCAGCAGTTGAGCCCTCCTTGCCCGTTCTTACACTTCACTCCCAAAAAGCTTTGAGGGGGCCTGGAAGCCCTTCTTCCCCCGTGAGGCTTGTTTCTGTGTTCCCTAAGTGTGCTGCAAAAGGAGACGTTGGTGATGGGCTTGCTTCAGCAACATTGTAAGGAGAGTTCCATATCAGGGATTGTATTTTACGCACTTGTGATGTGACTGGGTACTACTGGTTTTGGTTTTTTGTTTCCCCCTTTTTTATTTGTATTGTAGGAATTGATTGCCAAAATAATAAAAGTGCTGTTATTAAAGCTTAGAAGTGTGGGTCCCTCTTGGTTTCGGCTATTCAGTTTTTTTTATCAGGCTTTTAGCTGTGGTCACCCACAGTTCACTGCAACATGAACATGGTGGTGCCTGTCTCCTGAAAAGCACCATGCTAAGAGATAATGCTGCCATTATACCTCTCATCTCACCTTGATCCTCCATTGATCCTTTTGCCTGTTTGCTGTAGCAGGTGAGAGAGGAAACTATACGAGAAGCAGTAGAGCAGGAAACACTTGGCCCCTAGCTAGGGCTGCCTGTTCTGGGTTGTGAAATTATTGGAGATTTGGGGGGTGGAGCCTTTGGAGGGGGTGGAAGTAGGGTTTGGAGAGGGGAGGAACTTCAGCAGGGTATAATGCCATAGAGTCCAGCCTCCAAATCAGCCATTTTCTTCTGGAGAATTGATGTCTGGAGAGCAGTTGTAATTCTGGGAGATCTCCAGGCTCCACCTGGAAGTTGGCAACCTCACCCTCATCTTAGCCGGATCATCCCATATGGGGCAACTCCATAGAGAAGGGGAATCACTCTGCATATATCCAGAAGTATATTCATCTTTTACTGCACACATGTCAGGGCAGCATCCCAGTAACAGAAGTGCTACATGCTGGTTACGGCTGGATCTATTCCTGCAATAACCAGTGGTTATTTAGTGGTTGTTAACGTTCATTGAGTTACCATTGGAATAGCTCAGAATTATCTTCTCCTTGGATTCTTAACACTGTAAACAGCACAGAAAAAATAGTGACAAAAAACTTACAAAGAGTATCCTGTGGAAAGTGCCATAAGTCACAGCCATCTTATGATGACCTAAGGTTTTCAAGGCAAGAGACATTCAGAGGTGGATTGCCATTGCCTACCTCTGTGTAGCAGCCCTGGACTTGGTGGTTTCCATCCGAAGTACTAACCTGCTTAATTTCTAAGATCTGATGAGATTGGGCTAACCTGGGCCATCCAGGTCAGGGTAGAGTATCCTAGGAAGTTGAAATTAAGATAGGGAGGCATTCCCAATCTCTCCTTATATATAATTCTGTTTTGGGGTGTCTCTTCCCTGAACATTCCACACACTCCCAAATCAATTGGGTCCCTGTTCTTTCACTTTCAATCCCCTGGCTGCATTGCCTCGCTGCGTTGCCACAGTCCCGCTCACAGAGCCGGTGGCCAGCATCTCAGGCTCAGTCTGGAGGGAGCCAGCGAACAGGATGGATCTTCTCAGTTCCCGGCCACAAACAGCTCCCATAGCAATGGAAAGCATTAGCCAATTCAGGCTTGCGCTTTTAGTGAGGGAAAGCAGCCAATGAGGGAGATGGCCATCTGGCCACGGAGACCCTTCAATGTCATAGGGAGACAAGTCTGAAAGTTGAGCCTGAAGTAGACGAGGAAGACTAATGTGGGAGAGTCGACTTTCACCCACTGCTGCTTCCCCGAGCACAGAGAGTTCCACGCGGGCGCCTTTGGTGAGGGCTGTCCTCTGACACTCCAGTGGGCAGAGGCTGAACATGGTGGTGCTGCAGCAGTTGTCGGCCATGCCAGGGTGCAAGAAGCCGGCTGGGCAGCAAGCCCATGGAACTGGTGCCCAGCCGCTAGCCCTTAGTGTGCTGCGAGGTGACAGACAGGCCCAACAATCCGGCAGCTGCAGGGTAAGGAGGCCAAGGCCGACCATGCTGTCGCCGCACCAGTTGCCGCTGCCTGCAGATGGCTGCAGGTGGCAGGGCAGGCTTTGTGCAGATGAGGACCAGCCCCATAGACGATAACACGGCCAAGGGGGAGGGGGAGGCCAAGATCTTGCTAGCACTCATTGTATTCCTTTTACAACAGACTTTGCTACTAGTATTCTCATAATTCAAAATGGTGGCCAATTTTCTAGCTAGTCGGGGTAGATTAAGCTGTAAATAATGCAGTATCTCTGGTTCTCTGGGTCTGATTTATATTTTCTGTATACCAGCACAAAATGCACTAACTAGGCAGTAAGTTATCTATAATTATTGGTTGAACAACTTGCAAACTGTTTTCTTTGAAATTAAACATGTAGCATTACTTTACCAGTATGTAATGAAATTCCTGGGAGCTTCTTGTAATTATCTTGAAATGGTAACAGTACTATTTTATCCTGTTGCAAAATTTATACCACAAAATAAATTCGGGTTTTTTCCATCTTATATTTGCATAAAATCCATATAACAAACAGCAAATGACAAAGAATGAGGCTTGAAAAGTAAGCAGAACAATATTTAGCAGTGCTAACAATGTTTCATAATTTACATTTTAACATTTTCCACACTAACCCACTGACAAAGACTGAATTGATGAAAATATTTTTCTTTTGTGGTTAGCTTCCAAATTTGATAGTACCACTTTTCCGGTATAGGTTGTAACGCCAATTTCCACTTCAAGCATAAAACTTCAAAGTGAGATTTATGAGTTCAGTTACTGTGCTCTGCTGAGAAAATGTTCTTGAAGTCCTATTTTGAAGTTGATTTATTAACCACAGATAATCTTAAGTATGGTTTTGCATTAATCATAGAATCATAGAGTTGGAAGGGATCTCCAGGGTCATATAGTCCAACCCCCTGCACAATGCAGGAAATTCATAAATACCAGATAGAAGAAGAGTTATAGTTTGCAGTGCTGCCATGATTTATATTGGACTCCAAGTGATAGATATGATTCAAATCCAAGCAAAAATTCAGGGTCACAAGTCCATACATCAACACAGGCCAAGCACCATTCTCTGGTAAGGAAGGAAAACAGCACCACCAAAAACAGTGACGACAGGTTAGCTCCAACCGGGGTTTCCCCCCCCCCCAAAATGCCATCAATCCTGGAAGTTATCAGCCACCAACCAGGGGGTAAAGGGTTATTATTTATTTAGGTAAAGGAAACCATAATTCATGGCTATTCAAAAGAATTCATCAGTCCACTTCACAACAGATTCCTGTGTTCACCAATTCCTCACTGTCCCATCAAGAGGCCATGCACGCAGGACACCATCAGACATCTACTGGAGATCACCACCATTGAACCTGTGCCATCATTGCAAAGTTTGTTAGGCATCTGTTCTATTTTTTTCACAGTTCCTAAAAAGAACGAGGAAGGGCTATTCTGGATCTCAAATTCCTGAACAGGTCTGTGAGGTACAGGAATTTCAAGATGGAGATCCTGAAGACCTTCATGGAGGTCTTGCAACCAGAGAACTTCATTGCCTACATAGATTTGACCAAGGCATATTTTGATGTGTGCCCATAACTCCCTGGGACAGGCAGTCCCTGAGATTCACCTGTTCAGGGACATGCCATTTGGGTTGGCATCAGCTCCCCCTGGATAGTCACAAGCAGGGGTCACTTCCTGCAGGAGCGCACAGGAGCCGAGCTCCGGCAGTAAAGAGCCCAGGGGACGGGCACATGCAACAAGCCCCACCCCCTGCTCCCAGCAGCCCTCAGTCAGAGCAAGAAGCAGCCAGGTAAGTTGCAGAGCCCCCCCCCCCCGTCCAAAACAGTCCAGTGCACCTTTAAGACCAAGTTTTATTCAGGCACAAGCTGTCCCTCCTCTGCGAGGATAGATCTGCACATTCTCCCCCCCACAAATAGCTAGCAATCCAAAAGAGTCCAGTGGCGCCTGAGCAGTGGGTGTTGCCTTCTGACATACTTCCGGTGATGTCAGGGGGTGTGGCAGATGCAAATAAGTTATGCTAATGAGTTATGCTAATGAGCTCCTGCACCTCTTTTTCTATGAAATGACCCCTGGATGAACCACTGGGGGAGGTAGGTTTGGAGGTATGTGGTCTTGGTACGAATTGGCGGAGAGTGAAAAGTTGAAAAAACTACGGTAAAGTCAACCTAGGGCAGAATGATTAGGTTACCTGTCCAGAGTACCAACTTGGCCTGGTTTAGCTCCCCCTGCTCTGGTTTAGCAAAGGTTTGAGCAGTCACTTGATAGTTCCCTCCCTGAGGCTCTTGACTGAGTTATGTTGGGAGTGACAGACATATGGCCAATATGGAAGGCTTGCTCATTGCCTTGCACACCTGGATCTTGGGGAGAGCTCCAGAGCCTGACTTGGGCTTTTATTAATGTTTTTATGAAGATTTCAGTCGTGGGCTCCTCCCAGCCAAGAGTGCCCTAGGGCAACCTCTTCTTAGATCCAGGGACCTCAGTTTGATATTAAACAATTTTTTTCATCCAAACCTCGGGCAGCCATGTCAAA